TCAATGAAAGACATGCTATACTTTTGTCATAATTTTTGATGTAGGATATATGCTTGTTATGTGCTTATAGGATATCATGCTATATTTACAGTGTATCATACTATACTTATAGGATACCATGCTATACTTATAGGATATCATGTTATACTTATAGGATATCATGCTATACTTATAGTGTATCATTATCATGCTATACTTACAGTGTATCATTATCATGCTATACTTACAGTATATCATGCTATACTTACATGATATCATGCTACACTTACAGTGTATCATGCTATACTTATATCGTATCATGCTATACTTACATGATATCATATTATACTTTCAGTGTATTTTGCTATACTTACAGGATATCATGCTATACTTATAGTGTATCATGTTATACTTATAACATATCATGCTATACTTACAGCGTATCATGTTACATGTACAGCGTATCATGCTATACTTATAGGATATGCATGAGTTAAGCTATGTTCCGCATGCTGCACTTTTTAATTCACTGGCAGCTGCTTGATTACCTCAAAATTAGCTTACAAACCTTTAAGTTTTCAACTTACAAGACAAAAACACGAGCCTTAGAATTAAAATATTTCAACCCTCATCAACGAGCATATAATAGCACCAATAACATAACACTATTGAGAACATAGCTTTCATTATTGAGAACCAGCACATAATAACAACCCTCATCAACCAGCACGATATTTCAACCCTCATCAACCAGGATATAATAGCACCAAGCACATATCATAAGCACATAACACTATTGAGAATAACTTTCGTTATCTACTTTCAGTCTAACAAACTGAGAATAATACTTTATAAATATTTATACACCACAAAAAATTTGCATATCACAGTTGGCATCCAGCATCCGTGGAACTTAGCTTGAGGATCACGTTTATATCCTAAAATCAAAAGATACACGGATCAAAAGAATAGTAGACTGAATATACAAGTTAGCAGCATTTCTAAGAAACCGCATACAACTGAACATTACACTTATGAAAAATATACCTTCAGATAGAAATAGAGCAACAATACGAGCTCTATGTCTTGCACAATCCTTTTGGTCAATTAAAATTGGTTGACCGGAAATGAGGCTGAACATGTATGACATCAAGAACACCCTACAATCTAGGCTACTGCAAGTTCAAATATTTACAATATCAATATAAAACTTTTGGCCCACAAATATATAGTTTCTATGTGTCACAAAATACAAAATAACAACATACAAATAAGTTGAATACACTAACCCACGTTGTTGAGGTACATCAACAGTTTCTATCTCATGACAAGATATAATATCCAAATTCCAAGATCGGTCATCTCCTTGATAAGTTCACTCATCTTATCCCTTCTAGCACACACAATCTTCTTCGTACCCTTATAACTTTTCTTTTTTCCTCTTCTAGTCCTACGCTTCATATCCTCTTCAATTTCAACCTTAGAACTATATGAAAGCAAAAGCTTATAGATTGTATCGCGATCACTTCTATGAAACCTTGTATCTACTATAGATCCTCCCATCGGAAGGCTCGTAATTCTCCCAACATCTTCAATACCAAAGGAGGTCCATTTTCTCTAATTTGAAACTACTTTTTTCAATATCAAAGACTTCTAACAAACAATCCACTAGAAGTGGTTACATTGGAACATCTGGAACATCTAAATAGCCATAGAATAGAGTATCTCGAAGGGCTATCCGTTGATCCTCCGACAATGTAGCAGAAATACGATTTTGAAGGTCCCAGAAGTAGCCAACGTTGGATGGAATTCTCACTAAATCCACATGTACGATTTTCGACAACCAAAATAAAACATAAGCCAACTTTAGTTGTCTATCAATATTATATATTTTTATTAAAATAAACTATAAAGACTAAAAAATCTGGATGCTTGGGTTTCAAAAATCTAATAATGTGGAATGTTATCACGTTAATGAAACAAGACACTCTATGGGTGCATTGGCTTCATGATGTGTGCCTAAAAAACCAGAATATATGGGAGATTTAGAAGAGGCAAAGACAATCATTATTGGCTTCATGATGTGTGCCTAAAAAACCAGAATATATGGGAGATTTAGAAGAGGCAAAGACAATCATGGAGCTTCAGGAGTGTGAGAGATAAAAAACCAGAATATATGGGAGATTTAGAAGAGGCAAAGACAATCATGGAGCTTCAGGAGTGTGAGAGATAAATTTAAGGAGGAGGTACAACAAAATGGTGATAGTTGCTTGTGGCAGGATGAAATTACCAACCATTTATTTTTTAAAAGTCAGTTCAGTAGAGATGTGTGGAGTAGAATTATAGATTGTTTGCAAGTTCGCACTACTCATCAAAATTGGCCTGAAGTCCCGCACTGGTTTGAGAAAAAATGTTCTAGAAAGGGAATAAATAACAGACGTAAAAGCAGGCCTTTGCAACAGCTGTGTATAGTATATGGAGAGCTAGCAACAAATTGATCTTTAAGCAGATACAACCACATATTGAATTGTCAAAGAGTCTGCTTTTCTATGAGTTGAAGATTAGGCTTAATTCTGTACAGAGGATGAAAGAAACCATAGAAAATAGAAGGTTGTATTCTCATGTGAGAGTTTTTCACTTATTTGCATAGATTTTAATTTTATGCATAGGGAGTGAGAGTTTTGAGATTGTACTTCATGCTTTGGTAATAAAGTTCCTTGCTTTACTTGACAAAAAACTAAAGGAATATATGAATATAAGAGTATACCTCTATGGACTGGGATGTTAACGGCAACTGGGACGGCGGCGGGCGACGGACAATGATGAGGTCAACGACAACGGTGACTGGGATGGCGACGGGTGACGAGCAACATCGATGGAGTCAAAAGAAACAAGACAAAAATCCAAGTAAAGTTCTCAACACGAGAGCTGAGACGAGCGATAGGCGACGGCGAGGTCAATGACAGCGACGACTATGATGGTGGCAAGCGAAGGGCGACAGTGACGATGATGGGCAACGACAATGGCGACGGTCACGAGAAAGGGGATTTTTGGTTTTTCAATTAGGCCTGAGAGTTGAAAAGGGGGAAAATAAGGAGGGAGAGAGAGATACTGGTTTATATGGGGCTAATGAAAGGGGTATTTTAGGATTTTTACCATGTTTCTGTATAAATATAAGTGCTTTAAGTATTGTATTTTAGAAATTGGGTTTAAAGATAAATACAAAAAGAGAATTAGGTTTAAATATACAAGTAATAATGATTAGGTTTATAGGTAAAGTTGAGTAAACAAATAGGCTTAGAAATAAAAACCCCAAAAAAATACATGGAATCAAATCAAATACTACTAAAATTAAAATTATTCTAATAAATCTAAAATCTTTTGATGGATGATCCATGATTGTCCTGCATCATATACTATATGTAGCACAAAAGAACAATGACCACAATATAGTTTAGACATAAGAGTCATGTGTTGGCTATAATCTATACCAAGAATTAATCGATGAGTCAGCAAGCTAGAGGAAAACATTTTTGATAAGATTGCAAACATGCACATGAGACTCAATTGTGGGTTTGTAAGATATTTAGGTCCCTCCCCTAACCCTTTTCTAAAATCTAGCATTTAGCTATTATGGGTGAGCGTCTCCTACAAATGGTATCAGAGTAACCGCGGCTTCACACTTAGAAACAACACATGAGGGGTTACGTCGACAATGCAATGTTCATCTGAGGACAAAGACAGAGGGCAATGCTGGGATTTCACTGCTCAATTGGGACTAGACTAGTGCAGAGCTAACCCCTCATGGACATAGGGCCTGTAGAAGAGTGACGATCAAGTCAGTAGGTGATCTTGGGTGGGGAAGGATAGAGTTTGTTCTTAGTTACGTAAAAAGACCAGAGTGCCGCTCCTTTTATAGTGGATCTGAGGGGCAAGAAAGTAACTTGGGACGAGTCTAACTCGGTAGCTGAGTTGGTAGACATTTGCTATGTGTCAATTGCTAAAGGAAGTCGGTAACCTGGTCATTTATTGTTGGAATGACAGCAGATATTTGGTGCTGACTAGGTTCAATGAGTCATAAAGGCTATGGGGGTTAGAACAATGATGATGATGTCAGGGCAATTAATGCGAGAGTAGTCGGCTAGCGAGGTATTTGAGGTAACTGTCATCTTTCGACTCCTCAGGTCTAAGGCCGAGAAGCATCGCCTTCTGTTTCGGTTACGGGAGATGCCAACTGAACAGTGGGCTGAGTCAGATTGCTTGTAGAATCAATTGAGGGCTTGGCCGAGTAGGACCGTCTTTTGATTCGGTTACGTAGGATGTCAGCCAATCAAGTCAGCCGTGATGAGGTGGAGGTTATATTGGTCTTGAATTAGGCAGGTTAGTTATAGTGTAAGACACTTGTCGATTTCTCTGTAGAGATTAATATTTAGTATTTTTAGGGGTTATAACACATGGCTTATTTATATATTTGTCTCTCAAATATTCAGTAATTCAATATTAGTCCCTAAAATTATAAGCAATTTCAAAATTTTTAGGGACTAATATAGAATTATTAAAGATTTAAAATTGAGGGACTAATATCTAAATAACCTTTAAATCTTTGTTCTCATATATTACTTATAGTTCTATAAGATGACCTTAATTATACAAATTTGAAAAGTGATGTATAATATAATTGATTAGTTAGTAATGATAATTAATTTAGTTTAGTTAGAATTAGGATATAATATCTAAAAAAGAATAGGGGTAATATTCTCTGTGAAAAGTTTTCCACAACTCTCTCTTTTTTAAGTTTTCCACAAACTTAATTAGGAATGTATTTAAAAAAAATAGACCCACTTTCTGGGCACGGTGCTAATGTGGTCAGAAAATGAGTCTATTTTTGTAATAAAAACGAAAAAATTTTATTTTCCAAAAAAAATTTGGTTGGGGCTATTTTGAAAATTTCTTCAATTATCAATTTATCATATTTCGTTCCCAATCGTCTCCTTCTCATCTGCAACCTGAGTGAGCGGGCCCCACTTAGTGACGTAAGCAGCAGTGATTGCAAATAGAGAGAGTCTCGGAAACAACCAGCTTGCTCCCAAATGCTCGGAGTCGCCTTGGCCCTCGCGCTGTGTAGATCCGCTCGCCTACGACTCCTCCCTCTTTCTCCAGGTAAAATAAAAAAAATTAGGGTTTTATAATTTAATCGAATAATTTTATTTGATTTTATTTTGTCAATGTTCTCCACTCTCTGCTTCAATTACCGATCCCAAGTTTACTGAGACATCACAGCAAACATCTCATCTGCACAACTATCCCATAATGAAAAAAAATTTTAAATTAAAATTTCAAGGGAAATCGAACTAGGAAGGTTTTTTTTCCCCAGTCCAAAAGATTGTTAGGTAATTGTTGGAAACAGCATATATAATTGTAGAAAATAAAATTGTGACCTCAATTCTTGCACGACTTTGGAGTTCTGTTGCAGTGAAATTGACTTTAAAATGTTACTGAAACAAACAACCTTCGAATCCCTCTTGCGAGTATTTTAGATTATATTAGAAAAAAAAAGAGATGTCTTCCTACATCGAGGCCCGACCCATGAAAAGGTTGCTCAATGTACGGAGACATGTTAGAATATTAACAAATAACACTCACTTATAACGCTCAGTCCCCATTGTAACTTCGGAGTTTTGGTGCAGTGGACAGGACTTTAAGAATATGATGAGAGATATATGTTCTATTTCTCAGTGATTAAATCCATACATGATCCAGATACCTTTATGTGAGCTAAGAATCTAATGCCATTAATTTGTGCTGTCTATATTGACACTACTTTTGTGTCAGTCATGGCTTAAAATCTACAATGTATTTGTTGAATATATGCGTGGAAAGAAATGTTCACTATTTCTTTGTGTTAAAGTGGAAGGTCACATTTAATGATGAATAACATTTTTATCTTCTGTGTAAATTGAGTAAATCATGACCACCCTCTCTTCTATAAGAGTGAAATCTATCATATTACCAAAGATGTGACACTTAATTATTTACGTTAAGCAAAGCGTCTGCAGAAACTAGACCATTGCTTGTTGACAGCTTGAGATTGCTGTTCTGTTCCTCTTTCCAACCTCAACGAACCCTTCTTGGACAGAGGTTTACATGGTGCTGGACTTTATGACAAATTCTCAATCACATGTCCGAAGAACTACTGAGTGGTATGTGTACAGAGAGATGAGGCGATGACGAAATGTCTTGTTGGGCTTAACAAGATTCCAAGTGAAATGCTATATTGTTTTTTATTTTTTCTTTTTCGCTTAGATCCTCAAATAGTAACAATACTAGCACTTGATTGGAGTATGAAAGTAGAAGACACTTTTAAGCAACTTGAAGGTTGGTAGAGTTGTCAATCCCTATCTAGCTACTGGAGCGAGGCAATATCTTTCAAGCCAGTACTAAGCAATACTGTTATGATCTAAGCATATACTCATCTAGGAAGATAGTTCCACAAGAACCTTGTAGTCTTTTTTTGCTTCAGCAAATTAGATGTCCATAATCAGTCATATTTCCAAGTTATCAATGGGTTTCATGACTATTGTGATTGTTTGACATGATTGACATATGCAAAATATACCGACTACATTATCGATGTGTTTCATGGCAATTAGGATTGTTTGACATCACTGACATGCATAGAGACCAACATTTGTTGCCAAACTGAAAATTTTAAGTTACGCTTGTTAAAGATGGTGAAGGTCATGTCAGTATTATCTGTAATTTTCTCTTCGGGCCTAATCATGAATCTGTATGTGGAACTTGAAACCTGTAACCTTATAATCCTTTTGCTTCTTGTTAAGTGTCTTCATATTCCCGGTTAAAATTATATCAATATGGGGCATTCTCTTTTCTGTTTGATTTTATCTATAAGCAATTTTCTAATTAACGCTTCTGTTGTTGCTTAAGCGCTAATCCATATTTAAGCTTTTGATGCTGTCTTGTGCAGATTACTCAAGAAGGTTTCACAAAATGGTAGAGAATAGTCATGGTCATATAACTCGTGTGCTCTTCTGTGGATTTCAGTTTCCTGATTCCCAAAATTATACACGAGAATATCTCCATAGCCACCCATATATTCAGGTACTTTGCCTTCTATCTCATTCCTTATTGTTGTAACTTATGTTGGTAGGAGCTACTTAGGAAAAAATATTCTCATATAGGAAGAGGAACTATACAGATTTTCATTATCTTATTACATAAACTATTTCATATTTTCTGATTTGCTGCTTTCACTGACACATTCTTATTCATGGTTCATTTTCAAAAGTGGATACAGGCTATCCGCCATATATTTTCTAGGAATAAGAATTGTTGGGATCTTTCTTTATTATCTTACTACATCACTATTTCATATTGGCTGAGTTTCTGCTTTCATGGTGTCAATGAACAAGCAACACTGAAGGTTTACTTTCTGTTGACAATAGTAGACCATGCTTCTACGACTTAAATAATTGATAGATCTCATCATCTATTATGTCGATATATCTAATGTAATCATCACAAGAACATATTGCGGAAGCACAGAGCCCTAGGCGTGCTTTAAATAGTTAGGATTATACCTGAGGTGCAGTTATGGTCTTCTTTGCTTCACCAGATATCCTTGATCTCCTGTGCAATGGCCGGGGAATGATCACAGCTTCCGATCTTTGGGAAATCCCCTCTTGTCACCCTACTACTGACCCTAATAAGAGAGGAGACTGGAAGGGATGACGGTTAGACCTAGAAGGACCAGATTCTGTAGGAGATTGGGAGATAAAGTTGTAGACAAGTTCCTCTTCATGAAACCCTGTTTCCTGTATGCATATGTAAGTGTATGTGTAGATATGCACATATGTGTCTGTGTTTTGCCTGTGTGCACGTGTGTGCCTGTATATATTGATATAGATATGTACATACGTACACATATATGTACATATTTGTGATTTATATGTACGTT